TCTCAGGGGTACAAGCAGCCTGTTTACATACAGCTGCCACGGTTCTGGCACGAAGTCATAGCGGTCGGCAGTGTGTTCAGCCCCAGGAAACTCGTGATTTTGGAAAGCATCTGCACCACAGACAGCTCTTTGCCTGTGCAAAGACTGAATTTAATGGGACAACTTAACATAAAAATTCAATGAAAAACATCCCTCTTTAAATACTGTCCGATTTGGCAGGGCACTGTAAGAAATGCTTCATTTTAATACCACGCTTACACCCTCTGCTGAACATGAACTGTCCGTTTCTGAAATTAAACACATGCTTAAAGGACTTGCTAAACCGGGGTGCAAAGAAATGAGGTACCAGGCAAATCCTCTTGCAGCTCTGGCTCAGAAAAGCAGAAAAGTGTATTCCATTACAAAAGTAAAGCTACTGAAAAAGCTTCCTCATTTGAGAGGCACCACGGAGATTACAGCCCAGACTTCACCAATTACTTACGTAAAATCAGAACAATAGCAAGTGATAATCATGGGTTGCAAAACGTTCGTAAAACCCTTCTGAGTTATTCCTCATGCGTGTTAATTAAATCAGTTTAATTTTGGAAATACAGACTTGTACTGACTTACAGTCTCGCACACTGAGCCACCTGGCTGTTACCAGGAGATCTGAAGGAAGAGCAATCCCAGAGCTGTGCAGAAGCGCTTTATAGCGATAAGAAAGCAGAGAAACCAGCAAAGGCAAAGCTAATGGCAGAGTAAAAAAACTCAGAGACCGTTACAGCTCTGAAATGTCTCCTTTGTAGGGATTGGAAGAAAGCAGGAGTTTTTCTTACGGGCTTTACTTTTCTCTTCCTCCTCTTTTTTCAGGCGACATAAATTGCTCTCAGCTGTGAAGGAACTACAAGCATTTGGCTTCGCGGAAAAAAAACCCCACCAAAAACGATACTTTGGGCTTAATAGAGAGAACTCTTGTTCCGCAGAAATGAAATGAGAAACAAAAATCAGTGTTTGCGTGTTTTAACCAAACAGCACTTCCGACTACCTCTGAAATTCTGCACGCTCGCTGTTTCTTGGAGCCATTTTCCCCGCCTGGCTCGGAGAGCGCTGAAGAACATGGAGCTGTCGGGCAGATTGTATTACCGCACCGACTGCGCTGCGCTTGGAAACACCAACTACTGCAAACTGCAGCTGTCCTCTTGCAGAGGCCACCTTACTCACACCGAGCGCAGTATCCCCCTGTTTAATTAACTCCGCTGCCTCTCCCGAGCCAGCCCTCCTCTAACGAGCGGGCGCTGCCAGTGCCCCGCCACCAGCACTGCCCAGTTTCAACACTGGGAAGCAATGGGTTTTGATGAAGGACCCTTCACTTTGGAATTTGCTCCTCTCGGACTCAGAAATTGTTGAAACTCGGAGAGGGCTATACAACCTGCCTAGTTTCCAAAGCTTTTTCGTGCAATTTAGGTAAACTGTATTTAAAATTTATATTTAAATTTGTAATTTAAAAAAAAAAAAACAAACCCAAACTGTTAACCAAGCTGCTAGTAAGCAAACAAGCATGTTCCTAGAGAAAATCCTTTTCTCTTTTTTTTTTTTTCTTTTTTTTTTCTTTTTTTTTTTTCTTTCCTGAAAAACTCCTGCCCTTATGCACTGCCCTATTCCATTCACACTGCAGGACAATGTTTATCTTGCAGTTTTAATCTTGAAGATCAAACGAGCGCCCTCAGGAACCGTACACAGCCCATGAATAAACACTGCTGTCGGCATCCTCCTCTCCATCCTCGGCATCCTCCTCTCCATCCTCGAGGACCTATGGGTGGCTCTATCGCAGCTCCTCAGTTTGGTCTGGAAAGAAGCATCACATGCACCTTTCCTGCCAGAGGATGCCAGAGCCAGTGCACAAGCTCCAGACTACAGAAAGGAATACTTCAAGGGCTACAAAATTTAAATTGGAAGCATCTGTCTGTCTTTTTTTTTTTTTTTTTTAATTCCATGAAGAACTGCAGCAGCTGAAAAGGGAAAGCTCATCTGATAAACAGAAATTCAAAACGTCACCAGCGTAATTAGTTTTTGAGAAAAATATTTACGCCGCAGCTGAACCAAGCTGCTTTGCAGCCGAACCCTGGCAAAACTGCAACAACGGGGAAGGTTTTGTGTCTGCTTTTTAATGATTGTATCCTAATTACAGCAAAATTTCACCTCTTCCCAATGCTGGCTGGGAGAATCATTGTAAAATGCAGGGTCCTGCAAATTAGCAAGCAAGTGAACAGTAAATTCCCCCCAAGGATAATGCATCACAAAACACACTGCATTCATTTATTTGGTGAAGTGCAGTTTAATTACTTGCAAAAATAATGACTCCTTTGTATGGGCTCTCGCTAACATGCGTTGCTGCTTTGTGTTTTGCTGAGTGGTACAAGTTGCACGCCAAATCTGCGTGCATGGATTATCCAGCGTGCGCGCAAGCAGAGCGCAGAAAAGAGGTTGTACAGTATCCATTGTGTTTTGACAGCACATAAATGATATATACTCTCTTCATGGAATTTGGCTGCACTTCTGTATTTTGAAACTCAATATTTCTCCTCTCAATAGGGATTTTCAAGCCTCGATCCCATCTCGTCGCAGAAAGCACTAAGCACAACAAAAATCTCTGCTGGAAAATCGGGATGTGTCCGTTCTGCAGCCGCCATCCTCCCGTGGTGGTCCCCATGTCACACGGCGCTCCCACCGCTCCGGCCAGCCCTGAGCTCATCGCACGGTGCTTCACCACCATCTCACCCACTGAGCCAGGGACCTGTGACTTCCAGCATCCACAAGTTTCTGTTTGCGGGGCTTCACGGAGACAGCAGGGGTTTCAGAGTCACAGCATCCGTGCCATGGTTGTCAGATGTCTATACGTTGTATTTCCACCCAGCAGCCCAAGCGGAAAACTAACCATATTGAACAATTTAAGGATATACTAAAATGAACAGGATCGGGGATCTTGATGGTAACGTTATTGAAGTTACTAGTGTCTTGGTCTTGCCAGGGTCTTATTTTCAAAGATGAACTGTAAAGGTCATCAGAGAAACCCCTTGGATTACACCAGCAGCACCCGGTACAGTGCATGGCACAGGGCAACGCCAGGTAATCCAAGTACTCCTCTTCTTTCCACTCACCGAGAACTGCCATTCCAGTATTGGAACCGGTTGTGAAATACTCCACCAAATACACAAATAGCTCTTGTAATAGTTTTATTTACTTCCCATTTCTTGTTAAATTACCATCTCTACTCATATTCAAATTGCATCATTTGCTGTGAGCTCTATAATCAAGTTGTGGCCAACTTAAGCTTTCTATAATCGAGTTTTGGCCAACTTAAGCTTCTTGACAGTCTGTAAAGTCTGTTAACATGGTTAGTCTCACCTTGGAGAACTTTGCAACACTTACAGGATGAATTTGCACATTCCAGTTTTACAAGATAGCCTGCAAGAGAGCTGTGTGTTTTCACAGTATGACTGTTGAACTCGATGGAGAAAAAAGTAACACTGCCATCATATCTGTATTAATCCCAGGCAAGGGTGGCAGAAGAAAAGGTCAGAATATAGCTTCCATTCCACCACCCTGCATCTTCTCCTTCACCATCGCTTCGCATGCGGTTGGCTGAATTGTTCAAGATGAAAGTTAAATGCAATCACTCCAGCAACACAGACCATATTTTTTGCCCTCTAACACTCCATCCAGCAACTACAGAAAGCAGAATAATTTGCAATTCGTAACAGAGCAATGTTGCGTGATAAAGTGGAAAACATAGCAGACTCCTAAACATGATGTTGGATCACTCAACATAAACCCCAAGTATCTGAAAACTCAATTCAGAAAAACAAAGTTAATAACAAAGCTTAAGAGAACCGGGCATCACAATAACACAAATGCAGACCAAATCTTTTCTCCTTTACAAATAGACCCCTTGGGACTTACTTAAGCTCTTTGTCTTTATTAGCCTCAGCTTTTAAAGACAGATCTCCAAACATTTGCTATTCAAAAATAACTTATCATCTTCTGAAGGATTCCTTGTAAAACACTGCAGTAGATGCTCGTGCCACTAGTTACTTCCTACGAGTCTGTAAGATGCGGCTGCTTCTCAGGACCGCTCAAAAGAGAACTGTTTCTGCTGTTAAACACTTGCAGTAATTGTTACCTAATTTTTTTACCTATACTGGTAAGATACCTATTGTCTACAACATGCCACCTTCTTTCAATACAATCATCATTATTTCGTTTAACCAAAAAACTCCAGATCTGTAAAGTAAGAACACAATAGTCAAGCCCACTAACTCCCATCTTTTGGGCAGCTGTGCTCGTTCGAAGAAAAGCTTTTTCACTTGTGTTCGCTTAAGGTTTGTCTTAACTAGTCGATATTACGCTGACTCACTTTGGGCTTTAAGAGACAGCTGGAAACAGAACACTGTACAACAGAAAAGGAGAACATCATATTATTTGCATCCCCTAAACCCTAAGGACCTGCCCCCATTGTTGCTAGCAAGAAAGGTAAAAGCAAAATTATACAAAACAATTGCCTTTAAGGGTAGAGTATAGCTCATTGACACTACTCAATGATAATGTGCAGCAAAGGCAAGCGCGATACAGAATGGAAAATGAGCAGAGGAACCTTCAAATTATTCTTACTCTGTCAAAAGCTGGTGCAGCTTCTGGTAGCCCCTCTCCAAGGCCAAGCTCACTGGCGTTGCCCCTTCGGTGTTGTGGATGCTGAGAGCTCCTCTTCCACCAGGCTGCTGGAGGAGAAACCATGTCAGCCGCAGCAGACCCAGCCTCACCGCAAAATGCATCAGTGTTTCCCGAGGGATGTTCTCTGGGAAGAAAGAAAGAAAGAAAAAAAATAAAATAAATGAGAATTTGTAGGCTGTGGGTTAGATGAATGCCACATCCCCACCTCCCAGGCACACCACACACAAGGGCTGGCATGGACCTGACAGCCCAAAAGCCAAGGAACCTGCCGGCACCTGGAAAAATATGCTGGCTGCCAATATCCAGGAGAGACCAATAGTTGAAAGCGAGGGACACACTGTGGTGGGACTGGAAGTGCTCAGGACCTCTCAGGGTGAGACTGACCACAGAAGTCAATGTGAAAAAAACCCCACCATTTCATAAACAGCCATGGCAACCACCAAGTTGCAGCGCTTCAAGACAGAACCTGGTGTGGTCAGGTGGGTCTTTCTAGATGTCCAAGCCTTCTCCTCACACACCCAGGACCAGGTTTTAGGAACGGACAGGTTTTGTTCTTTAACAGGACACTGATTTATCCCAAAGGCATGAAAAAAAATCAATTGCATTTGAAGCACAAATCTAAAGCTGTTGTAAAAGAGAACAGTTTAACCTCTTGTGTAAACAAAAAAAGAAAGAATTTTGCTTTACTGTCTTGATTATGCCTCAGACCAGCTTTTCTCAGCTTTATACAGTAGCTCTATCATTCTGAGTAGCAGCATTTATAAACTAGCAAGCTCCATTGCTGCTTTTTACGTTTAATAACCGTGACCGTCTAATTTGGTAAAAGTCACTTTTGAGCCTAAGCTTTCATCTCAGAAAAACGTCCCCCTAACTCTAAAAGCTGCAGCCCTAAAACGATGCTCTGAAAAGCTTCAACCAGAAATGAGCTCCAGATGCACTGCTGAAATACAGTATTTGCAGATCAAAGCCTGTTACTTCTCTATGAAGGGCAAAAGTATTTGGGTTAAAAACCTACTAGAAATAAAAAATTGTTCTTTTAATTAACAAAGGATTTCAGTATTGACTGGCAGCAACAACACGACAAAAAAGCACCAACTGGGTCTCAGTAAACCATGCCAATGAGCACACTCGGTATAATACCTTTAATATCATAGCAATGATTTATTGGCTTATTAATTTGGTTGCCAGCCAAACCTATACAGCAGGTTTAAAAATGCAAGTGCATAATGGCTTTAGGATTTAATTAAGTATTTTTTCCTCAAGAAGTAAGCCCCAAGAGAAATCACTTCTTCAAAGTGCTGTTGTTTTTCTTGCCTACTTGCTTTCTTAAGGGACATCATTAAGACCTTCCGTGAAAAACAAAGCAAAAATGGGGAGTTCTCCCCTGCCTGACACACCATTTTTCCTGACATTTTGGATCAACTCCTGAAGAACTAATCTGTATTCAAGAACCAAAAGCTTTCTGGCACCGTCTCTCTTCCGAATTACTCCAAATTAGGTATCTGGGCTACAAACCAATGTTTCCCCCCTAACCTCCTCCTGATTACCGTAAAGCAAAACCATGCTGGCCTGAATACATGAGCATGTCTGAATGGAGGTTCCAGCTGACCAGAAAAAAAAGGAATAGCTGAGCTCACTCAGAGACAAATTCTCAGCCTGTGGGAGAGTAATGACAAGGATTTTGCTATTAAGTGCTATGGAGTGCAACGCTTTAGAAATAAACAACGCAACGAGGTAGTTAATCCATGGTTGTCACAGTCTTGGACTTAAAGAATAATGAAAAATAACACACCATATAGACAGACACAAAGGAAAGGCTACTGATGAGGCTGCAAGAAGGAGAAAGTGTTGATAAATGTGGGACTTGGCCAGAGTGAAAGCAGATACCCGAGTTCCACTCAATGAACTTGCATAATACTCCTACGTTACCTGTACTAACACTCAGGTGGAGTCAGCTACCACAGCTAAAGCAGTACAAGTCTCTTCCTCCTGAGATGTGGGAAGCAGAAAAGGACTCCTGTTAGAGCCAGCAACTGCTGTTCGAATAAAGAATGCGTCACAATGGTCTCACCACATCTGTTCCAGCACAGGATCTCCTGTTCTAGCTGCTTTGGTTGAAAGGAAAAATCAACTTCCTAACTAAAATGGATAGTATTGCACCAAAATTGAGCGGCGTAGACCTGCAAAGCATAAGCATGGGCTCCTGGACCAAAACACTTCCTCCTCCTTCATCTGAGACCCTTACAGTTAGGTAAAAGCATCTTCTACTCGCCAACTCATGGTTCACCAATGAACACACACGTACCACTTGCAAGTTTTGCAAGATGCAGGCAAGTACTGACTCTGTCCCTGATCCAGCTGGATGCTCCTGTCTCTCTCACAATGCCATAGATGAAATGCCCCCTCCCAATCGTTCCAAATGCTTATCTGATGTAATCTGCTCACACGACTGCAACTTCTGAAAATCCCACCTTTCTTCCATTCTTTTAAAACAATCTTCTTTACCATCACATTAGTGGACAGAGTAGTCCCAGCGTTTGGATGGAGGTGTCTACAAACGCAACTGAACTGAATGCAGCCCTGCCCCAATGCCTTTGAGCAACGACGACGTGCAGAGAAGATCTGTACAAGAAGACATGGCGTGTTGCCATCCAGAGCATATTAAACATACAAATACACTATCCAGGCCTATTTGGAAAGATCTGCCTAAAATATAAACTGGCATGAGGCCATGCTAACAGATGGGCACAGATGATGGCAGCAAAGAGACAAAGTACTGTACATACAACAACTGCAGGGGCCCCAGGCAATGGCTTTAGAAGGTTTTGGAGTGTGCAAAACTTGCACGGCCACAGCTAAAAGGCGTGTGTCATCTGTGGGCTGGATTAACTACTAATATACAATGAAAAATACATCTGATGGTGGATGGTGTTGCTCAGAATAAGACGAGAGCTGGTCTGCATCGAGTACGGGAGTGTTGCTGGCTGGAGAGGGAAGACAGACAGATCCCTCCAACCTTCCCACCTTTGAAGGGATGAAAGCTTGTAGCACAAACTGTTGAAAATTCAGTCAATGATTTCAAAGTCTTGTCATGGTGCAAAATGCCCGCCCCAGGCATGGACGAATCACAAACACTTTAACATGCAACAGCCAGAGCTCCTTCTCCTACCACATATCAAGCATGAGCTCCTCATCTTAAAATGGCTGTCCTTTGAATGGCAACAAGAAGCTTCTTATAATTAGGAAATTGTGGAAATATAAGACACTGGAAAGGCCAAGGTTGTTTTGTTCCTGTCTCGTTTCCTAGTAATAAGCAAAAGTTGAAACATATCATTATTGTTCTATAATGGCAGGGCACTCTAATCCAGCTGGCAAAACATAAGACTTCAGATATATTATTTTTATGTATTTTTTTTTCAGCTGTGACATAAGAACAGACAGTTTATCTGGGTAACTAAGGACAAAATTTCCATAGAAGACTGTCAAATGTACTTTGCTAATGGTAAAGGATTAAGGTTTAAGGTGCTATTAGCACAAAACAAATAGGCATTGCGGAAACAAAAAAAGTTCGGGTATGACACATCCAAGAACACACAAACTGTTCTCTAAGTAAACACTTTCATTTTAATCTTGATTAAATAACTGTTCCTCTTTTAAAACTGCTTTTTATAGAGAGTAACCCACACCTAACTGCTCGGTTTATCCTCCATGCCCCGAGACATCTTATCAAGGAACAGCCAGCCATGGACTGGCTAGCGTCTCTTGCTAGTCTTCCTGTGATGGTGACCTTCACTTGGTTCTCACCCAAAATCACATATACTCAGCAATTTTGAAATCTACCATCAAAACTGGCCTCAAAACTTTGTTTTCTGCTGGAAATGTTCTCATTGCTCAGATCAATCCTTGATAAACACAGGGAGCAAAAGCCAGCAACAAGCTATCACGTAACGCTGAGGTCCTAGAGACAACAGGACTGAAGAAAGGTCAAGGCAGAGACGCTGTGTTTGGAGTTACATGTTCAGTTAATAAAAAGACGTGTGGGTAAGTCTTTTTTAATCTTATAAACAAGAAATTTTTCAAAGCGCACCAGAGGATCTTCATGTCCCCATTCCCACTAATATCAAAGGGAACAGAAACTTTCTCATGCCAATGATTTCTCGGCCACAGACTGAGGAGTACATCTGAGGACTCCCATCTCAGACGTTGCCTGAACCAGAATTATTTTCTGCTTCCCATTTTCCACTGCAGAGGGTATTAAATTTAGGTATGGAAAAGATCTTTTTACATCTTATCTAGGACTATAGCTGAACAGACAACCTTGTGCTGTTGGCACAGAGAAGATCATAGCGATTTATACCACACAGTCCTTTATCAGAGGGCAGAGAGGAAGGGGAGCAGCAGACTGGGGAAGGATATGAAACCCTACAAAAAGAATACCTGTAACTATTAAACTGAAAGGGTGCAATGAGAAACTATAAAAAGAGCACAGCAGATGAACAGATTAAAGCTTTATGTTTGCAAAACGTCATCAACTGCTTCTCTTTAACATCTTCCCATGGAAAAAAATGTTAGCTCCTAATAATCAAATTTCGTTCTAACTATCTGTGAAAGCTTCTTAAAGCTTTTTTAGGCTATTTGCTTTTTTTCTTTAACATAAGGCACCTTCTTTAGTCATTTTTTCTGTTCAGGCATTCTCCCTTTCTGTAAAAACAACCAATTAACCATCTCTAATCACGGTGACACTCACACTGCGCTACGCACCGAGATCCCACTGGGTTTGTACGTGAAGTTACTAAACTCGTAACCCAAATCCATTCAGACTCTTTCAAACCCAGGCAAAGCATTTCCCTCTCTACCCACTTCCCACCTGGCGAGCTCACGGCTTCCATTTCTCAAGCAGTACTTACTGCACACGGATGTTTATTCCGCAGCATCTCTGGGAAGCTGTACGTATGCAAGACGTCAGTAGCTGTGTTCCTACAGTTAAGGAGCTGTTAAGTGTTAAGTTATCTACTGAGATGTTCTCCTGGTTATATGCTCGTAATCGTGGCTGACTATCTCACAGCTCAAAGGGACTGCTCCCAGGGAAATGGCTCCATTCCATGGTTGATCACCACAACCCTC